AAAATTTGAGCTGAAAATTTCAGGCATTGATATTAATTTTGCAACACAAGCTTTACCAACTGGTTCCAAAGATTTTATATCAGGTATTCTTTCATGATAAATAAAATCATTATCTTTTTTTACTTCTGTCAGATTTCTTTGAGCTCTATTAGCATAATCTTGAAATAAATGAGGTTTATTTGAACGTTGTTGCGCAGCTTTAAATAATTCAACAGAACGCTAAAAATATATATTCTAATTAATTTTAGTTTATTTTTATAATTATATTTAGATTATTTTTATGATTTTCATAATTATATTTTTTAGCTTTTAAAATTTACTTCTAATCTAGCTATTTCTTCTCCAATTGACTTATTATTTTTGCATACTAATGATTGATAAAATTCAGTCATTGCACGATATCCAGCTTGTTTTCCTGCAATCTATATTATTTCATTACAATTATTTACATATAATTATATGAATTCTGTATATAAATAAGATTGTAAATTCATACTAAAGGAACCCATTCTTTATCCCAAAATGCCCGAAAAATCTCCTTTTGAAATAATTTTAATGCATCTGCATATAATTCTTCTGCTTGAGAAGCTAATCTAGCAATAATTCCATCTTTCATAGCATCATGAATTGCTTTATATACAAATATTTCTTGAGCTTGAGCAAGCATCAATGCTGATAATGCACCCAATGTTTCTGGACTAATATCTGGTGTTGGTTCTTGTTGAATAGCCATCATAACATTTGCTTTAAGATAATTAAAAATACCAGCAGATTGCTATAATTAACAATAATTAAGTAATTATTTCTTAATAACTTCAATATATAATCAATGTATAATATTTTCATGGATTTTTATAATTTTTAAATGTATTATATATATTATAGAATAAGATTTTAAACAATTTTTTTCTATGCATACTATCATCAATCAGTTTTCAAAATATTTGCAAACAATAATTGCTAATAATATTGAATTTTATCTATTTATTTATATATACAACAGTATGGATTAAAATTGAGATATTTCAAATCTATTAAAATCCATGAGAAATTAGTTTATTGATCAATTTATTCATTATAATATAATTAATGGAATTTATATTTACTTGAAACAATTTTGCAGCTAGTTTTAATCCTTCATCACTTTCTAAAGATTGTGCTGCTGCAACTGAACTTTGTAAAGCAGCAATATTAAATAATACACATACTTTTTCATATGACAATGTACTAATGGCTGAAAATACCAAATATCATATCTTATTTTAAATATGAATGTTATAAAATAAATATCAAAAATTTAGCTTTAAATATGGGTCCAATCAATAATGATCTTATCTTATCTATGTATTTGTTAATCACTTAAAATCCAATAGACAATAAAAATGATATAAAATGAAATATAATATATAAAATATAATATAAAATAAAATGATATAAAATGATATAAAAATGATATATTAAAATATATATAATTTTTTAATAATATATTAAAAAAATCTTACTTAAACTGAGTTTTCCACCAAATATAGTACGATCAAATGCATCTTTCCATTTAAATGGAATTTGTAATTCATGGGCAGGTATCTTGCCTTCTAATGCACATAATTGATCATAATAACTAAACAAAAGAAAAAAGAATTTTTATCTAGGAAATGATTATTAATTGAAATAAAATTTTATATATTGTTAATAATAATTAATAATTATATTCATTATATTTTAAAAAATAAATGTTCAAATATTATTTTATTAAATTACATCAAAAATATAAAGTTAAATATTAATCATATTATTTATCATTTTAAAAAATTATCTTATCATAGTAGTTTTATAATAAACACATTTTTAAAAAAATAAAATGCAATGAAATATTTTTTATAATATTTCTTATTATACTATTTTAATTAATAATTACTTAAAAATGACTCATACCTGTATATAACCTCTAAAGAACTTTCATATTTCTCAAAAGCTCGCCATAATGCATTGTTTCTTAATTTACTAAAATCTGCAATTGCTTCTGTATAATCTTTTTGATTATTATATGTTGATTTAATAACATTTGTAAGCGGCTTAATTACATCAACGTCAGACGGTTTTTTTAATGGCACTGCGATTAACTCAGCCATTTTGACGTGTAACTGAAATCGAACTAAATACTTACTTACTAATCTTACTTATGTACTTATCTACTTATATCTAACGATAAGATATTTTATATTCATTATATATATAATTAATATTATGACACATGATACTTTTATAATGATATACTTTTATATATATCTATTTTCCGTTTTACATAGTAAGCAAAATTTAATTTAAAATTTTTTTAAATTTAAAAAATAATATATTTATAAATTTATTAAGTATAACATGGCATATTATTTTTCTATTAAAAAACTATTTTAAATATTAAATTTATTATCGTTTTTTATTATGTTCACAAATTTATCTTCTATAAATAATATATTTAATAATATTAAATTTTTAATAAAATAATATGATATAAATATAAAAATCTACAATAGATGATAGATATATTAATTTATTTAAAATTTGTTAAACAAGCAAATATATATAAGAATATATATATAAGAATATTATTATTATATATATATTATTATAATATAATTCATTATCATTTTGTTTTGTACGACATGAATAAAAAATATTTTGATTAATAATTGTCCATTTGCATATTATGTTTTTTGAAGTCATAAAAAGAATTCGCGCCTTGTAGAGTTGCATATTTTTATTAATTATATGAACTAGATCGCGTATGTCGCTGGTTGTCATAAATTATCTGCGTCATCTTTAGATATTTGCAGATGAGATTTTTATAAGTGATTTTAGCGAATCTTTAATTTTCTTCTGTTGTGTCTAATTCATAAAAATTAAGGTGAGGATAAATAATTATAAAAGAGGTAAAGGATTATATAGCGATGAAAATTTTATTTTATAAAATAAAAAAACATATGAAATTATATTATTTCTATGCATGTATATTTTTTTGAGACGCATAATAACATTCGTTTATTATATTAAAAAAATATTAAAAAATTAATGCAAATATATTGTAATTTTTCAAGGTGTTATTTGTCTTATCTTACACATTTGTTCCTATGCAATAACTTATATAAAAAAATATATATTGATTTCATTTTAAAGATATTGAAACGAAATCAGGGTTATTTTTTTTTATAAGTATATGTGTATAAAATTTAAAAAAAAAACAATAATATTGTTATTTTATACAAAATTAAATAATATAATTTTAGTTGTTTCTTATCATTAAAACATTATTGTAATAAACATAATCATAAATATACATATTTTTCATAAATTATTCATTATTACAACATTATTATTTATTTTTTTATTATTTTTTTCACTTATTATAACAATATTATTTTTTTTTACTATATATTTCTTTATACAGGTTAATCTTACATCATAAAAATGACTTTAATCGAGGGTGTTGGAGATGAAGTGACAGATTTTTTTATAGTTGTGGCTGTTCTCTTAATAGGATGGCTTGCATGGTATTCTACAAGTATTACAGATCAACCATTAATCCGCACAGTACTTGTATTACGTCGAACACGCACACGTCTTGCTGAACTTAGAGCTAATCATCAAAATGCAAGCTCATTTACACGACCTCCAAATTTGGAGGTAACTGAAGAAGAAACAATAGAACCAATTGCAGATGATAATAATAGCAATTCACAAGCTTGTCCTGAACCATCTATTGCAGGTGATATGTCCTATTTAAAATACTTCTAAGAACATAATAAAAATATTAGAATTATTTATTATTTGTCACAATAGACACAAATGAAGAAATTTCTCCTGACACACATAGAACATCTGAAGCAACAGCTACAGAGGAAGTACTTATTGAAGCTATGGATTCATTTAATAATGATTGTGCAACAAAATTACAAAAACAAACCAAATTAAGTTCTTCTAAAGAAACAAGTATATCAACATCAACATGTAATGATTCTATAGAACATGAACGTGAAACTCTTTCAACAACAGATGCTAATGAAATTAGTATCAAGCTTAAGTTTATAAATGATGATCAAAAAATGGTTACTGGTAGCTTAAAAGAATTGCTTGGAGATTTTAAAAGGTATATTTTAATTTTTGTATACTAAATAAATATATAAAATTTTATTAATTTATTAATTTTATTAATTTATAAATAAAATATGTAATGTAACATAATGAAATGAAATACATAATTACATATTTTCAGGAGGCATTTTCAAACAGAGCTAGATGCACAAAAATTAGTGCGTTTAGTTTTTAATGGTCGAGTACTGCAGCCTGACAATCAAACGTTGGAAAGATGTGGCTTATATAATAATTGTGTAGTTCATTGTTTGGTTCATCAACCACGACCAAATCCTGTATCATCTCAAACATCAACATTAGATAATTCATCACCAATTTATTTTAACCCTCAATCATTTTCTGATATTCCTGTTGGCACAGGAATTAGTTCTGTGCATAATGAATGGGATTTGAGTAGACCATTAGTGGTCATTTTGACTGTCATGTTAGGTTTCGCTTGGTATTCCCGATATCATTATGCTCAATTTTTTACCGCGAGTACAACTCTCGCATTATATGCACTTACTGCAATTTTCGCAATGTCAGTAGCTTTAATATTATGTCATTAGTTAGTAATTTTTTTTTCAATCAACAATGCAACATCAGAAATATTGCGTGAATTTATAGCAAAGAAACAGTTAAAGACATTATTTTGAAATATGATTTTGTAAACATTAATGTGTGTTTTCAGTGTAACATCATTTAAACACATTGGTTCCTGACATAAAAGAGAACGTGAAGGGTTATTGTGATTTTTATCAATGTATAAAGGAATTCATATGAATAATATATCAAGTATACTTAGATAGTATGGATTTGCATTTCAAATTTTAAATCAATTTATCTGCATTTTTTCTTTTTTTTAACTCAAAATTTTAATTTATATATTTACAAAGGAAATTTCCTTGGAATTATAAAAAACTATGATTATAAATGGGAACGTATTTAATATTAAATTTATAAATTCGAACAATTAATATTTTGATAACTAGCCAATATTTGTTCATTTAAATATATTTGCGAAATTAATTTTGATAAATATTATTCATTTGTTGAATTAGTCATAATAAATGTTATAAATGACAATTTGCAATAATGCTATATCATTTTCAACAAAAAATTTATTATATATTTACATATTTATAATATTTTTATTGAATTTAAAAATTACTATTGAATTGATCTATATATATCTTAAACTTGAATATACTATGTATAACTATTATAAATTGCAATTATTGAAACAAAATTATTATACTTTTTATAAATCTTCCAAAGTTTCTAACTTTAGAATGGAAATTATGTAATACTAATGTTTTTTGGAGCATTATTATTGAGCATTATGAATTGTTAAAAAAAAAAAAATAAAAGTTATTAACAATGTGTATATATACATATAACTTATAATGTATTAAGCAATCATAAAATTATAATTTATTAAAACATACAGTTTATATTACTTTCAAAAAAGGAAATTTGTTACTTTTTCTGACAAATGATGTCGATTTATCCTTATTTCTGTAATAGACTGTATTATAGTGGTAAAAAAATCAAATTATATAATAATATTACAATTTTTATTGAATATGAAATAAATAGTTATTTATTTGATGTTTTCATGTATTAACATATTTCATAATTCAATTGATTTTATGTAAATAAAAATTTATTTTTCATCCGAATTTAACAGAATTAAAAAATAAAAAAAAATTCTCAATTCAATGAAAAAAGGTATATTTATATATTATATAGTTTATAATAATAATCTTTTATTAATTCTTAATTATAAAAATGATGTAATTACATACTGTTTTCCACAAAATTGAATGATTTATAAATTCTTATATAAAATAAATAAATATAATATGTGAATAAAGTTACCACCAATTCAGAATTGGTATTTAAATATACAATGTATAGTTCATAGAATTAATATTTAATATGAATTTCAATTTAAATTTGAATGAAATTATTAAATTTTGAAAAACATTTTAAAGATGATGTACGTATGTAAAATAAATAATTAATGAAAAATCACTTTTAAATAGAAATTAACTTAATTGAAGTGTTTTTCCCCAAAATTCGTTTAATACCTCAGGTATAGGTTCAGAAATATTAAGTTTATTAAAAAAGATATTTAATTGTTCTTTTAACATTGCATTATTTAAATTAAAGTTTCCTTTTGGATTTTCTAAAAGAATAGTACCTTTCCCTAAAATGCTATTAATATTAATGAATTTACAAACAGGATGTTTTAATACTGAAAATGATTGAGTTATAACTAAACCTACTTTTATTACTTTTATTGTTTGTTGATGCAATGATAAAATATTTGTTTCTTCTGATAGTGGTTTATTATCAACGTATAAATTATAAGCACAACCATAAATACCAAATATTAATTGAATTTCATACTTTAATTGATTGTAAGAAATAGGAACTAATGTGTTAGGAGTTTCTAATAATACAGTTCCTATACAATTAGTTGCACCAAATCTTGGTTTTATGCCTATAAGTTCAATATTTACGTATTTTAAAAAAGGTTTTACATTGTTTTTATCATTTTCAATATCAGGTTTTACTAAAATAAGTTTCATGTCAATATTTTTAATTTTTTGCATTTCTTCTATGATTATATTTGCATTATTTGACATTTTCGATATATTTTCTTGTGGAGTTTTAGTTGCATTTTCAATAAATTCTTTATGACTGATAATTACTTTTGCCAAATTACTATTTTGATCTTGTATTTCGTAATATACAATGGCTTCATCAGATGGAACTAATTGAGCTTTCTTTCTTAGCTTCTGAACTCTATTGATTATTTCTCTTGCTATTCCTTCATTATGCATGTTTTCATCAGAAGTAATATCTAGTAAAATTAAAACATTTCCTTCACTATGAGCTTCATACTGTTTTGACAATTTTTCAGCTGCTGGACCTGTGAAACTAAACATAAGTCGTAAATCTTGTTCCTCTAATTTATGACCTTGTATAATAATTTCTTTTTTTGCAACAAAAATTTGCAATTCTTCATCAGAAAGTTCTTTAATAGCTTGAGTAACAGATTTAAATTCTCCTTTAAGACGAGCTCCAAGTATTTTATGATCTGGTTCTGCTTTTAATTTAACACCATATTTTTCCTTATCTGTAGTAACAGTTAATTCTTTTATATTAAGTTCCTCAAGAATATATAATTCCAAAGATTTTATTTCTTTCAATACTTCAGCATCTTGATGAATTACTACAATTTCTGGTAATGGATATTTAACAGGAATTGTTTTTCTATCTCTTATAACACGTCCTAATTCAATTACAGTTTGCATATAAGATACAGCCTTTTCAATTTTTTCATCTATTAATTTTGAATTAGATTCTGGTATCATTTGATAATGAACACTGTCCATATTAGCTTTAGATGGAGGAAGTAATTTAACTAAACGTTGAAACATAAATTCTGTTAAAAATGGTGTAAATGGTGCATTTACACGTACCATTATATAAAGAACAGAAAATAAAGTTGTCAAAGCTTGTTGACAATCAATTACACCACTATCTCCCTTTATACGTTTTCTATTCATTCTTACATACCAATTAGTAAGATTATCTATATATTTTATTAAATGAGGAACTACAGTATATAATTTATAAGCATGCATTTCTCGTTTAAAAAATTGTAATAATGTTTGTGTAAAAGATAAAATCCATCTATCCATTATATTACTAGAACATACATTTTTAAAATCATCATATACAAAAGTAATTTTTTCTTCTCTTTCAAATTTTTCAATATTTTGCATTAAAAATCTAAATGCATTGTACCAAGGTAAAAAAACATCTTTTATAATATCTCTAACTCCTTCTTCTTTAAAACGCAGATTTTCTGCTCTAACAACAGGAGAATTAATTAAGTATAAACGAAGAGCATCTGCTCCATATTTATTAATAATTTCCACAGGATCTGGATAATTTTTTTTACGTTTAGACATTTTTTGTCCGTCAGATGCAAGTATTAAACCATTAGCTACGAGATTTTTAAATGGAGCTTTTCCGAAAAGAGCTGTTGATATAACTAAAAGAGTATAAAACCATCCACGAGTTTGATCAATACCTTCACCAATAAAATCAGCTGGGAAATTTTCTTCAAATTCTTTCTGATGTTCAAAAGGATAATGCATTTGTGCATATGGCATTGATCCAGATTCAAACCAACAATCAAACACTTCAGGTATACGTTGTAAAGGTGAGTATCCTGGTCGTTTTGATGGTATAGTTAAATGATCTATATTTTCTCTATGAATATCTGTTATTTTTGTATTAGTTAATTCTTCTAATTCTGCAATACTTCCTACACATACAATTTCTTGTCCATCTTCTGATATCCACAGAGGAATTGGATTACCCCAATAACGGTTTCTACTAATAGTCCAATCACGAGCATCTTTTAACCAATTACCAAATCGTTTTTCTTTAATATAATCTGGTATCCAATATGTATTACTATTTGCTGCAAGAAGTTTATTTTTTATGGCTTCCACTCTAATAAACCATGAAGGTACAGCTTTATATATCAATGGTGTATCAGATCTCCAGCAATATGGATAACTATGTTTAGTAGTGCCATTATGAATTAATCTTTTATGTGACTGAAGATACTTAATAATATCTTTATCAGTATCTTTTACATATTTTCCAACAAAATCATGTACTGGTTCTATAAAACATCCACAGCTATCAATAGGACATATAATTTCTTGATCTCTTGTTATTATTCCACCTTCCAAGCAACATCGATAATCATCTTCTCCAAAATATGGAGCTTGATGAACAATACCTGTACCAGTTTCTGCTGTGACATATGTATCATTTAATATTATAAAGGCACCCTTCTCTCTTAAATTTTGAAAATACGGAAAAGGAGGATTATACATCTTTCCTTTTAAATCACATCCTTTCCTTTTACCTTGTATAGTATATAAATCTTTAGATTTGTAAATAAGTTCTAAACTTGATTCTAATATAATATAAATATTACCAGATGCGTGATCTTTAACTTCTACATATTCAAAAATAGGATTACAGCAAAGAGCCAAGTTGCTGGGTAAAGTCCAAGGTGTAGTAGTCCAAGCAAGAATATAAACACCTGGTTCATCTACTAATGGAAATGATACAACTATGGAAGGATCAATAACATCTTTATAATTTTGTCCTGATTCAAAATTAGATAAAGGTGTGTTACAACCAGTGGAATATGGCATTACTTTAACACCTTGGTATACAAGACCTTTATTATATAATTCTTTAAAAACCCACCAAATAGATTCCATATACCAAGGATATAATGTTTTGTAATCATTTTTAAAATCTATCCATCTGCCAATTCTACTTACAATTACTTCCCATTCTGTTGCATATTTCATTACAATATTTCGACATTCTTTATTATAGTTTTCTATTCCCATTTTCATAACATCATCAGGACCTTTTATGTTCAATGTTTTATCAATTTCAAATTCGACAGGTAAACCATGAGTATCCCAGCCGAATCGTCTTTCCACATGATAACCAGATTGATAAGCATATCTTGTTACAATATCTTTTATTGTACCTGCAAGTATATGTCCATAATGAGGTAATCCAGTAGCAAATGGTGGACCATCATAAAATGAATATTTTGGTTTTCCTTTTGACAATTTTAAAGAATTTTGAAACGTATCACATTTTTTCCACAATTCTAAAATAATCTCTTCTTCTTTCGAAAAATTAATTGTTTCAGGAAGTTTTTCTTTCATGTTTATAATTAT